TTTTTTTTTTTTTTTTTTTTTTTTTTTTTACGTTTCGTTACGAATTATTACCCAACAACCCGTTATCGAGCGTGTAAATACGGCGTATATTACGGTGAATGTAAATTCGGATCACCGAAACCGAGCCGTTCCAATCGTCAAATGTCACGACGTCTCCCCGTACACCTGTCTCCCGTAATTAGGTAACGTGAAAGTTTTGCGCCGACATTCAGCGTGTTGTGTACTGTGACTGCGCCTCGAACACGATCGCCGCCTCTCGAGCAGAGAGGTTGGAAAATTGAATAATATAACGCGAATACGGTGTATAAGAGATGCGTTAAAAAAAAACAGGAGCGTTAAAAGAGATTATTTTTTCGCGTGTTTAATTGTTGTCATAAATCATAAAGAGAGAGAGAAAAAATAAAATAAAATAAAATAAAATAAAGGAAAATTAAGTTTCAGAGCAAAAATTAAAATTTGTTCTCATCCTTGTGGATAAACGTAATCTGTTTGAAATAATTAAATTAAATCCAACACGGTTTAATTTATTAAGAAAATAAACGAAACACGACGCGATTTTCTTGCGAGAAAAGTTTTCGATTGAATTTAATTACTTAATTTAATAATTAAATCTTTGTATGATAGAAAATAGAATAAAGAGGTGATTATAAATGATTTTTCCACGGAGCATTAAAGGATTAAAAACGTAATAAATTACGTGATTTGAAATTGATAAACAATTTCATTTATAGAAACGGTTTACACTAAGATGGAGAGGAAGATAAAGATCTAGATAAAGGCTGGCGAAATTCTCGTTAACGGTAGAGACATATATATATATATATATATATATATGCTTCAACAAAAGAGCGAAAATTCTCATAGAGATTAAATTAACTCGGTAGGTACACGGGTTTTTTCCCACGGATTGTTTTCGCGTGTTGGCGAAAACGTGCGACAGCGATCGCTAAACCTTAGATGCACCACCAAGATAAACACCCTTCTTCCTGCTTCTTAACCAACTAGGCATCAACAGTTGTGTCTGGGATCAGGATGCAAACGCAGATATAAACGCTACTTATGTAAATTTTCTCGTCCCTTCCAGGATACCTTTGAAAATGAATCGTTATACGCACACCTGTAACAGAGAATCAAACTCTCTGCCAAATTGATCTAAATATCCGAATTAAGAGAGAGAATTAAGCTAAACTTGAAAAATTTATTTTGTCCTCGAGTTTCGTCGATACTCGATTACGATTTCATACGTCGATGGTCTCTCATCTCTTGCGTAATATTTTTCAGTATATCATTATTATTATTATTACGAAAAAACGAGTTTTACAACGATTTTTTTCTTTTTATATTTCAGAGAAATGTAATTACCAACCGAGTCAAGAGAAGGGAATATACGTATACGTAACACGCGAGTAAATCGACGTTATCGATCGAATTTAATAAATTTCATTCGAAATGCTAACTTTGCGTATCTAACTTCAGAGTGTTCACCTGTTGCGATTTAACTGGCTAAGATTTTAAC